TTTCACCTGTCCCTTGGACATCGAACAGCCAAGACAGGGTAGCAGCGGTCAATCCGTCAGCTGCACTCCCTGCTGCTCCGCCGTGATCCTGAGCAATGTCCCGTGGGCATGCCCGTGCGCGAGGTGGTACTCGTTGAGGTCAGTGGGATCGGCTGCTTTCGCATCGCCAGGAACAATGAGTGCGGCACAGGCGGTGTGTAGCGTTGGCTTTATTTGATAGCCTCGTTGGGTCAGCAGCTTTCCAGTCCGGGGGAACCACACCTCCCCCCCGGCTTTCGTGGTCAGCGTGAGGCCCCCCTTCATCCCCGAATACGTGTGGCCCTCCTCCGCCAACGAAGACAGCGAGAGGAGGTTGTAGGGGGCCTCTGGTACATGGGCAGCATTCAGTACTGGTACGGGTACTCCACCATCTTCCGTCTGTAGGACTAAGGTCACATCTCCGTATCCTAGAAGAGGAACGGGGGCCTTGTCGCCTCCGATCCCCTTCACCCAACCGCTACGCTCACGGTAGTTCACGAAGTTGTCTGCACATCGGAACATGGAGCACGTGGCCGCTGTGTCGGCCACGTACACCGCCTGGCCTTGTTCCACAACCCCCACTAGACCTACTTCACCAACGGTACCGCAATTGTCTGGGGAAACTGCCACGGCACAAAACGCCTGATCTTCCACGGAGCCCACGTAGCTCTGATGCTCCACCACTTGCGCTAGGACGGCCTCCTCCGTCGCGCACTTTTCTTTGGTGTGGCCCCACCCCTCGCAGCGCGCACACCACGGCACGAAGTCCTTCTCGTTGGTAGTGCAGCCGATCGCTTGATGTCCACGATGTCCACACCTAAAGCACCGGCCCGGGAACTTATAGTCCCCGCCACCGCCGCCATCGGCGCCTCCACTGCTGCTTCCCTTGCTCTCCTCGACTCCTCCGGATCCGCCTGAGCGGCCGCCGCGACCGCCGCCGTCGCCGCAGCGACCGCCTCCGCCACGGCCACGACTGCTGCGGCGGCCACGGCCGCCGCCACGACCACGACCTTGCCCCCGACTCCTACTTGAGTACCGCTCCCTGCGGCCCTCACCGTCGGCGAAGTACGCTTGCTCTGCGCCCTTCGCCCCTTTTCCTTTCCCCTGCTCCAGCTTGTCCTTGATCGCCTTGTATTCGATCATTACTTCCTTTAGCACAACGGTCCGCGTCCACTCCTTAGCGTGTCGCAGGTTGTGCTTTGTCATGGCATACTCGT